GGCAAATTAAACAAAAATTTTATTTAACTAATAAAGCATTGACATATTAAAAAAATTACTATCTGGGAGAGTATTTTGCAAGGCCTCTGGCATAGAACCAAGGCGGCCCCGTGCACAGTAATTCCGTGCCCATCGCAAACACAAAGGTGGGCTGTTGGAGCTCAGCACCCGCTTTGCTGAGCTTCTAGGAAGATGGCCGCTTTGGAAATGCTGTGGGTCAGCCACCCTGTCACAAGGGTTCCTCCACTGCAAGGGGTGGGGGGCCATGGAGGTCAGGCGCCCCTCTTGAGCAGCTCAGGGAGGCACCTGGGCAGGAAGAGGGGGAGAGGAAGCAGGTGTTAGGGGCCCTGTCTGCACCCCAGCTTTGTCCCTGTGCCCATTATTGCTTTATTACTGTTTTCAGTCTGATATAATTCCAGCATTTTCTATAATCTTGATCTTTTCATTGATGGCAGAGTTTTATACAAAGATTTGTATATAAAATGATTATGTACCCACCAGAACGCACTCCCCAGCAATTAGGGCGCTTAAGATGCGGCTCCTCACACTCCTCCCGCCTCCCTCATTTATTACTTTTCAAAGTGTTTTGTGATTTTTTTGGGGACGTGTTTACAAATCCAGTAACAATTCTCATTTGGAGTTACAAAACACGAAGCCAGTTTGAACCCAGGCAGATGGCAGCTAAATGAAGTTTAATTAAAGAAGGAGTGCTCGGAATCAAATCACTTTAAAAAGCGCGCTAGTTGAGATTCTGGAGCCCCGGCTGCATAAACAGCATCTGGGCTGAGCAGGGAGCTGGGGAAGGGCCGCAGGGAGTTGGGGGAGCAGGGGGGAGTTGGGGGGGAGCCGGGACCTGGGGAGGGCGCGAGGCTGAGGGAGCCCGGGGAGATTGGGGACGCGGGGAGATGGGGGCGCGGAGCTGAGAGAAGGCAGGGAATTGAGGGGTGTGGAGCTGGAGGGGGCGCGGGGAACGTGGGGCTGGTGAGAGCGCGTGGAACGGGAGGCGCAGGGAGCTGGAAGGGGCGCGAGGAGCTTGGAGGCGCGCGCCCAGGCCGGCTTCCCCGACTCCAGAGATCCTTCTAGAACCCAGGGGCAGGAGGAGGAGCCCAGGTCTGCTGCAGGGAAGGGCTCGGACCAGGGCTTCCCCTCTGCCTGGTGGAGGGCTGCAGGCGGTCTGCCTACTTGCAGGCTTCAGGCCCTGGAGGTGGCCAGAGGTGGCCGCGCCGGTGCAGCTGGTTGCCGGGGTGGAAACCCCGTGTCCCGGCTCCCCGCCCCGCGAAGCTCGGCCTGCAGCCCCGGGCCGGGCCCCGCCGCCCTGGATCAGGCCGCAGATGCCCGGCCGCAGACTGGGCGGCGCCAGGCGAGGCCACCGTGGCTGGAGGGTCCGGAGCACCCGCGCGCGGTGGGAAGGAAAACGCGGCGATTCGTCATCCTGGAGAGCGGGTCGCTCTGCAGACCGGGGGTGGGGACAGCGCGCCGGGGCCATCTTGTCCTCTAGTTCACAATTTCTGTACTGCCTCCAGGCCGTGGACACCTAGCACCAACTGAAAGGTTGAAGGTTTGAGGCCACCTTGAATCACCGGGGAAGAAAGGCATGGTGATCTATTTTCAAAAGCTCAGCGCTCCTGAAAACACACTAGCCTTGCATACAGGGGCCTCTTGAGTCCTGACAGCAGCGGACCTTGGTTTTCACGTTGAGAGAGGTGGTCAAGACATAGAGGTCTTCCTGCATACTTGGTCTCCTGGAGAAAACTTACGCACATTTTTTCTTCTGGAGAAAGGCAGGTCCGGTTCAGGGGAGGTGGAAGGAGACATTCTGGCCAGATGTCTGGATGGAGGTGAGCCACCAGTGTCTGTGGAGCAATTTGGCAGTTTGGGGGGGGGGGGATCATGATGCTTCTGTAGCTTCTGGTATCTTCCCATGATGCAGCTCTTCATTCATTCATTCATTATTAGAGTGTGTGTGTGTGTGTGTGTGTGTGTGTGTGTGTGTGTGTACTGTCAAATAGGATCTGACTGGTACAGGAGGAGATTGCCCCTCCTTCTCCAGCAGAGTCTCGGATGGATTCGAACTGCCTACCTCTGGGAGTGCAGTGCAGCTTCTTGCCACTAGAGCTCCCTTAACACAGCTCTTCTACCGGCTGGGGCAGGCCTCCCACCCAGCTCTGGGCCTGCCAAGTCCAAGCAGCTGGGCCTCCTCCTGGACCTCAGCCACATCCACAGTGATCCTCCAAACAGCAGATCTGTCCCTGCCCTGTCCTGTGCAATCGCCATCACTGACACATGGTGTCAGTCCATCTCATTAAGAGTCTTCCTCTCAACCTACAGCGTCCCTTTTCAGCAGGAAGTAGCTAAGAGAATGCGCCATCCCCTTTTCCTTATGAATCAGGGTGAGGTCTCTCTCAGGGAGGAGTGATAGGGAATGGCAAAGGACACACTGACAAAGGAGATTAATCAGAACTGGCTTTGACAAGCACTGTGGCAATGGGACAATTAAAACAGACTTTCAAGGGGGGGGTAAAAAAAGAACGAACTGGGGAGGAGGGTAGAGAAAATAGTGCAACAATGAATGAATGGAAACCCCAAAACTCTGTAAATGTTCATTAAAATTAATAAAATTTAATAAAAAAAGTCTTCCTCTCTTTTGCTGACCTAAGTATGTTATCCCTTCCAAGACCTGGCCCCTCCTAACATCATGTCCTGAGGAGCACTGGTGGCTTAGTGGTTAAGGAATTGCATTGCTAAGACAAGAGTATATGGTTCAAATCCACCAGCAGAACCATGGGATTTACTGCCCCTGGAAAGCCACTGGAGGGTCAGCTATGGGTTGGTTCTGACGATGGTACAGTCATATGCCCAATGCTGTGAGATGGCGCTCCACCTGCCTTGCCTGGTGAACCCTCCTAGTTCCCGTCACTGGAGCTAGTAGTATTCCTACTGTAGATGCAGAACTGAACAAGCAGAAACTGGGGTCTGAAGCCCTGCTGTCCCATACCCTGTCCCACCTGCCCTCTCCCCTCAAATCTGCAACTACCTCCTCAGTCCTGTTTTGTTTCTTAAATGTTCCAGCAAAGTGCTCTCTTCCTCATTCCTCCCCTTTGGCCCAGCCAACCCTAAGGTACTCAAGTGTCCACTCCCCATTTCTCACAAGGTACCCAGCCCGTGTCCTGGTTAGCCGCAGCTGGCCTAACTCATAGCAGCCCTACACACCTGTAGAGGGACATCTGTCTAGTCCCGTGTCAGCCCCATCATCTCCTGAGGAGCCTTAAAGATTCACATTGGCTGGTACGGTTTAGCTTAAAAGCTGGCCTTTTTATCCATTACGTTACCCCTCTCTAAGTCTCTATAGCTACCTTAACTGCAGACACGCGGGTTGGTTCTGACTTGTTGGTACACAGTGACATGCCCAGGGCATGTGAGGTGACGCTTCACCAACCTTGCCTGGCGAACCCTCTTATTTCCCTTCACTGGAGCTGGTCGTCTTCCAAATCATCAATAGCTGTGGGACTAGCAAAAGAGCGAGAGTGCTTCCCACGCTGGACAGCAAAGACCTGAGGAAGACTGGAGCAAGAGCCTAGTGAGAGTCAGACAGAGTGAGACCCTGGTGATGGTGGTACAGAGACTGTGGCATTGCTGTGGATAAATGGGCAAAGGGGAATCAGAGGAGCCCTGAGAGAAAGGCCACAGTTAAAAGGCTTTGCTGTTCTTGCCAGATGATGGAAGGAAAAGCTGCTCAACTCAAACTAGAACCTGGACTCTCTGAGGGTTTGTAACTTGGGACTTCTGGGCTAAGACCTGGACTTGAGTTGGGTGACAGTCTTTGCCTCCCTCACTTACTTACTTCTCTCATAAACCTCACTCTCAGTACCACACTGTGAGTAAAGTCCGTGACTTAACAACAAATGTCAAACCTAATGATTGGTGAACAGAGGTGCAGGGGAGATGGCATGTCTGACTAAGCTGCTATTTGCTGCTATGGTGTTACTGATGGGGACAGTTGTCCTTTAGGAAGTGGTTAGAGGTCAGACCCAGCTACCCTCATGCTGCATCAGCTCCTGCTTTCACAGCTGGTCTTTGGCAGGAGCTTGCTAGGCTTTCCTTCCTGGTCTTTCTAGAAGCTTTGCTAAAAGCTACCAGCCTCCTGAAACAAGCCAGCCTGCATGGACAGGTGCTGGTGTGGACAACTGCAGTGACTGAGAACTGATCCGGGTCTGCACCCTGAAGGTGGGGACTGGATCACCATGTACCCTACTGGGAAGGCAGAGCTCACTAAAAATGTGGCCTGTGACGGCTGACCACTACCACACCCAGGCTGTGGGCAGCATACTGGCCCTTCCAGCGTGTCTCACTACCTCCGTATTGTCCCTTCGACTTTCCACCTACTCCAGAATGGTCTCTGACAGCTGTGGCCCAGTACAGCCCCGAGTTCCCCATCTCAGAAGGACCAGCTGAAGACTCCTTCTGCAGATATCGCTCTCCAGTGACACCATACTTGAACGTGACTTCACCAGGGTGACTGGGGTCAGACAGTTCCCCCACCCCACTGTGAGTCCCCCAGGAGTCACGTGAAGCCCCTTTCCCCCTGGCTCAGTACAGAGCCACAATGCTGACCGTCCTGTGCGTGGGCCCTGGCAGTTGAGGCTCAAGCCTGGGCCCTGGCCTCCTGTGGTTCTTCGCTGGACGTCGCACGGACCAGCAGCAAACACCTGAGTGGCTTCTGCACCCCGACACTAGGGCCCAGTTGTCAGGCTGGCCTCCTGACCTCACCCCCGGGACAGCCACAACCACCATTCTAAAAGGGATCTTCTGACAATGAAGAGCGGAGGCAATGGGTTTTTTTCTTTTTTTTTTACTTATTTAAAAAGGCCTTGGTGGCAGGAATATAGTGTAAAAATCATTGGAAAAACTAAAAGGCATCGATACATATCCGAATATACATTCTGTACATAAATTACATTTCCTTTAGTCTTTCTGAGTGAGGTCTCAATGCGGCGCTGAGGTCAGTAATTGAGTGGGCCAGGGAGTTGCACGTTCAGGCCGGCGTAGTCCACCATGTACATTGGCCACTGCTGGAGAGAGGGGACAGAGGGCCCAGGTCAGGATGCCAGCCGACTGCAGGGCAGCGCTTTCTGGAGGGCTCTGGACTGGGCCTGGGAGGCCCAGAGAGGATGTGACCACTGCCGGGTCCCTCTGCTTCCTAGTGTCCAGGGGGTCTGAGTGCAGCCTTCTGAGCTGGCCCCACATGCTTGGGGGGACTAGTCCTGTGACTCTGGATGGGTGGTGACCCACAGACTCAGTCTCCTCCTCCAGCCTCCCACACCTAGGAAGCCATCAGGTCTCAGGGTAGCAGGAGCCAGTGACCGGTCATGATGTGACCACAGGGGCAAGACAGGAGGTGAGGGCAAAGCCCACCTGTCTGAGCATTGGCCAAAGGGTAAAGGAACCCTAACTCCATCTTCAAAAGTGTCCGGACGTTGTCCTCATAAGCTCAGGGCTTCAGAGCTGACATTTTATGAGACAGAACTCTCAGGGTCCCCTATGCAAGTCTTCCTGGGGTAGAAGGGACCCCCAATTCAAGAGGACTTGGAGCTGAAGGTGGGGTCCTGGCTAACAGGCCAAGAAGAGGCGCCTCCTCTCCTGACCGTGCCCCTCCACATGGCAGGGTGGTCATGCAGCTCGGACTGTGGCCTCCTCTCCTGACAGTGTCCCCCCACATCGCAGGATAAACGTGCAGCTCAAGGGCCATGGCCTCCTCTCCTGACAGTGTCCCCTCACATCACAGGACGGACATGCAGCTCAAGGGCCGTGGTCTCCTCTACTGACTGCGTCCCCCCAAATCGCAGGATGAACGTGCAGCTCAGGAACTGTGGCCTTCTCTCCTGTGTCCCCCCACATACAGGGGGCTATGGCCTCCTCTCCTGACCGTGTCCCCTTACATCACAGGGTGCTGTGGCCTCCTCTCCTGACCGTGTCCCCTCACATCGCAGGGTGGACGTGCAGCTCAGGGTCCGTGGCCTCCTCTGCACCCATTTCCTGACCTCAGCTCTCCTGCTGTCCCACAGGGATGCCCTGAGTGGCTGTGAGGCCCCGTGACGGGGACAGACTACACTGCATCATGCGGGCAGGCAGTTGTGTGTGTGACTCCAGGCCGAGAGTGCCCCCCTCAGGGCCTGGGGCCTCTCTGTACCCCAATCCACATCCCGGCGTGGGCAGTCTCTGCCCAGGGGGGCAGGAAGCTGGAGGGAGGGGGGGCAGGTCTAATCTGTGGGACTTTACCACGAGGGAGATCTGGTTGGTTGATGCCACAGACTCTGGGTTCGAGGATGAGGACGAGGAAGACGAGGAGGAAGAGGAGACGGAATTTCCTTCGGAGACTCGCTTCCTCTTGCGCTTGGGAATGCTGTTGTCTTTGGCTGTCAGAGAGGAGGAAAGGCTGCTGATGCCACAGTAGACTGCCAGGTCTTTCTTCGGAGGTACCTCCGGCTGCACCCAGAACTCCAACCTCCAACTAAGAGTCAAGCATCAGTCCTTATACTTTTCCCAGGACATCACCCCCCTGCAGGATTCTAGCCTTTCTCCAACTCCCTGAGCTGCCCTTGGACTCTGGCAGGCTTCCCAGCCTGTAGGCCACGGTCAGGGCGCATCCAGAGCTGCGCAGACCCCAGACTTGGGGGTTGTGAGCAGCCCTGAACCTTTAGTTCCTCATGAACCATGAAGCGGTGGTAGCTCGGGGCAGGATTCCTGCCTTTCATGGTCTGCATTCACCTCCAGGTCAGGGCACCCCATGCACGCCCCCTCCCATCTGTCAGTGGAGGCCTGCGTGCTGCTGTGATGAAAACAGGCTTCCACGGAGCCTGGTGACCCCTTGGAAACCAGAGCTTTATGGGTCACAACGTCCAGCGGGGAGATGGTGCAGGAGTGGGCAGTACTGTGCTCCGCGCGTGGGGCCACTGAGGGTCAGCAGCTCACGACAGAACGTGCGCAGAATGACGGGGGTGCCGGGAGGTCCCACGGAATCTTGTGCACAGCACGTAGCCTAATGCCCGGCACCTGTTCTCCACACAACACGGGGACTGTTCCAGCCAGGTGTGAGGACCAGGATCCCAGACTGGAACACTGAGTTCACGGGTTCCACAGCCAACACACTGGCTACGGATATCTAAGTTCAAGTTCTAGTCCTGGGAAACAGTCGCCCCTCTGAGCTCACTGAGAAAGACGCTGGGGGACTCCCGGGCGCCTCTGTGCAGAGAGCACCCAGGCCTGCACCCGCCTGGCGTGGACTCAGCTGCTCTGATGCTGCTGAATGAAACCAAAGTTTCTCTTAAAGAGCAGCGGCTGGGCCTCTCCGGGAGTGACCGCAGGGGTCATAGCCCACCAAACCCCCACCCACCCCACTGAGATGGTTCCCGCCCACGCTGGCCCTCTCCTGGGTTCCTGGGACGGTACGTCTCAACAGGAAGAGACACTAAGCCAAGCTTTCTCCCCGGAGCTGATGGATTAAAGTGCTGACCCTCACTGGGCCTCAGTGTCCCAACTGTCAGATACGGGGTACGAGTGATCATGACCACGGCTTCTTAATCAGAGGTGCCCCTTGAGACCACCGAGGGGTACACTCTCCAGAGTGCACGTCTCCTCAGTCAGAACCACAGGACCACGTGGGCCCCAGATCCTGTGAACTGAGAGCCTAAAAGACCTCCCCCGCCTGCAGGTGCGTGCCCTGCTGTCCAGGCAGAATGTTGGGGGCCACTGACCACCTGCCTCACCCCTGCCCGGTCATGCCCCACCCCACTCAGTCAGCTCCTATGACCCACTTTCTGCTCACCTCTGACCCCTGGGCACCTCCCACTGTCTGAGCTCCCCTCCTGAGACCCCCGCCTCACCCCTCATGGTCATGTAACCATCCCCCGGCCTCTGGGCACCTCCCACTGTCTGAGCTCCCCTCCTGCTACCCTCAGAAGGTGCTCTCGAGATGGGGGTGCAGACCTCAAGGCCCCCGGGGAGGTACTGGGGTAGGAGGGACATACACTTTCCTCTCTGCGGTTGGATAAAATCTACCACCTGGACCAGATCTGCCTCCGGGGCCTCTGACTCACCTGGCACCTTGGTGTCATTGCAGATTTCTGCAAAAGGTCTGAAAACGAAAGAGGGGGAGCAGTTAGAGGATACAGCCTGACTCCCTTCCCACCTGCTCCTGGAATCTCCGGAGGTTGAGATGCATCCCTGGTGCTGGGACCTGGGTGAGAACAGAGGTCGATCCCCACAGGGCAGGTGAGGGACTACCCGGCCCGGGGCTGACAGTGCCAGGTGAGACGCAGCACCCGTGGGCCTGGTGTCCTCATCTGGGAGGGAGGCTGCCGCTGCCACGCGCTGACTTTTGTTTTACTTGCAGCTTTATTTAGTATCAACAACGACAACACAAGCAGGTTAGTCCCTCAATGGATGGCATCATGGTCCATCCAGACTACACGGAGCTGGTCAGTTACTCGAGAGCACTATCTGGCCTGGGTCCCGCCTGTGTCCACACAAGGCCAAGTGAGGGACATGAGACAGTACCCATGGTTTCCTTGGATTGGACACTGTATGATCCACTTCACTTTTTAAAACCAGGGATGTGTGTATGTGCACATGTGTGGTTTATCTCTCTCTCTCTCACACACACACACATTTACAAAGAAGTGAGGTACTGAAAAAAAGTTGTGGAACTTTCTCTTTCCTTCTCTTCTCGGCTCCTGGCGGGACCTGCTCTGGGGATGACCCTTTGGCCCCATGACCCCTGTCCACGCCCACTGCCCTCAGTGCCGGTCACTCACTGGAGCTGGTTGATGATGACCATACGGACGTGCTCTCGGGCCTTCAGGATCTTCTCCAGCCGGTGGATGTCGTACGTGTTGGGATTCCGGAAAGGGATGTCGTCTGGCAGGCCCGTGACCTCCACAGCATCCGGGCTGTCTCGGATCAGTTTGTAAGGGACCAGCACAGGCCGGTTCAGGCCCAGAGCCTCACCTGTGGGCACAGCAGTCAGAGTGAGGATGTCCCCTGTCAGGGGTGAGGTCCTCTGGGGAAGGGCTGGGACCCCCGCAGGACCCAGCTCAGCCATCATACCCCAGGGAGGGTTTACAAATCTCCACGAGTGCTCTTCTTTATCCAGTCAGGAAAATTTAAAACCCAATCCCCCTGACAAGGACACCTTCACAGGTGCCTGGTGCAGACTGTCACCGTGCCCACCTAGGGCTGACAGGTAAGGCTGGATGTCACACCAAAGAGGACAGTCCTTATAGCTAATGGCCTCAGAGTCCACCCTGATGCACAGCGAGCAACCTCTCGTCTACAGAGCAGAACTTGCTCTGTGGTTTCCGAGGCCAGGACCTCCGGGAAGCGGACATCTGGGAAGTTGACCTTCGGGAAGCAGACCACCAGGCCCGCCTCCCAGGCTTCTCTGGGTGGGTCAGAATCACCAACCTTCTTGGTTACCACCCAGCGGGCTCCAGAAATGTCCTTACTTGAGAATTTATCAATGAGATTACACAGGAACTTGGATTTGTTTTAAAATACTTAAAAAAAGGGAAAAGTCTGGATGCGGAAATAGATGAAATAAGAGTTGATAAAATTAAGTGCACAGCTGGGTTTCTGTTATAAGGCAGTTCATGTCATCATTCTCCTTTTTCTTAAATATACTTGAAAATGAATTTCAAAATTTATTTAAAAAAAAAAAGCAAAAGACACACTTTAGCTGATGGACTCCCAGCTCCTCCCTCCCTGTCCCCCACCCCTCCTGCCTCGGTGCCCCTTGCTGGCCCCAGCGCCCCGCCCCAGACACTGACCGTATTTCTCGTTGAAGAGCTCCCTCACTTGTTCCCGGAGGATCACCTTCTCCCCGAGTCTGTTGGCGTCATCTTCATCTGTAAGAGGAAGAGGAGGGCGTGAGCAGGGGCTTGGCCGCTGGTCCTGCACTTTCTCCCTCCCCTGTTGAAGCCGCCTCTCTAGGCTCTGCCCCCTCCCTGTGACCTGTCCCAACTGTCCATCTGTCTGGTCACCCACGTTTGCTAAACATTTCCCAAGATGGTTCACATCAGTGCAATGCACCCTGAGAACTAGGCAGGAGCCCCTCAGTGCCCAGGATACCAGGGCAGCATGTGCAAGGGTGGCTGGGTGGAGTGAGGGTGGGAGACACCCCACAGAAAGGTTGGTCCAGGCCAAGGCACTAGGTGTGAAAGGTCACAGAAGGCTGGCTGTGGCTGCTCCCCGAGCAGAACCAGGTGGGCGCTGGTGTGTGGGTGGGACTGGCATGACGGGGCTGGGCAAGGCGGTCCCAGGCAGGCTGCCTCGCCAGTGGGCACAGGCTGTGAACAGGGACACAAGCTGTGGACACAGGTGGCTCTGGGGTAGGCTTCCTCCTAGCTGAGTGCCCAGGTCCAGAGGAACAGCAGGGTGGGCTAGGCTAGGGGAGAAGGCAACAGCAACAACCCTGGCATGTACCCTGGTGGGTGGAGACCCCAACTATGGGAAAGGGCCTTGTGCTGACCACCCCTTTGTTGGCCCAAAGCCCCCTGGAGGGCTCTAGGGTAGAGGGAAGTGGAAGCAGCAGGAAGCCACAGCCTGGGTGACCACAGACAGACAGACAGAACATGTCTTAGAACAACGAGTACCTTAAATCTTGAAAAACTGCGGCAAAAATTCTTTCCTTTTGGGAAATGCACCCACCTGGGCTGGGGCTGGGCCTCCCAGATCCTGCTGCACATGCACAGGGGGCTAGGTGGCCCTATCATGCACCCCGCCAGCGTCCAGAGGGCCACCCTCCCACCTCCAGACAGAGAGCTACCTGTACGGCTGCAGGCGCCACTGCCCCAAGCACTGTATTTCTGGGTACTCCCTCACCCCCTGCCCCTTCTGACTCTGCAGCCTGCCCTCCAGGGGTCCCTGCACGTCTCCAACAGTCTCAGGTGATGTGTCACGACACCCCTACCCAGCCCACTCCAAGGGTCCAAACGCAGCATCCTCTAGCACCCCCAACAAAGCCCTTCCAGACAGCCTCTGGACCCCTGGCATGGCTGGTGACCTGGTTTCTTCAGGTCCCAACCAGAAAACTGCTACTGGATGCTTCCTGTCCATGCCCTTGTCTCCAAGGAGTCCCCTGCGGCTGGGATTCCCAGCAGGCAGGTGCACAGGACAGGGAAGGGCACAGATGCCAGCACTGCTGGTAGCTTTCCTGAAAGCTCCTGGTCACCCCTCACCACAGGCTGGGTCAGAGCTCAGAGAGCTATGAAGTCCTAGGCACAGCTCTCTGGCCCCAAATCCCTCCTCTGTGCTCCACTGTGATGTCTGTTTCCAGAAGCTTGTGCCCCACTTATCAAGGCAGAGCTGACATCTGCAGAGTCCTCCAAACCTCCTCTTCTACAATTGGTTCCACCTCTGCCATGTGCCTGCGGCAGGGCGGGGCATGTGGCTGGAGTCACGGGGTGTTAGCGTGTGGACAGGGCTGCTGGGCGCATGGGCCCGCCTGCAGGGCATACACAGCTTGTATGAAGGCGTCCTGCACCTCTATCCTCGGCACTTTTGCCCCAGGGCAGCGTGGGCAGAGAGGGACAGAGAACAGGCCTGATGCTGCCAGGCAGCGGAAAGGGGACAGGACTCGGCTTCAGAAACCTGGACCCCAGCCCAGCCTGCCATGCGGGTCACGTGGTGGTGCCCTCCGGTTTCTGTCAGCCCCTTGCTCATCTCATCCACACATTGGGCTGCACAGTGTGGGTGCAGCAGCCCCTGGGGCAGGAGATGGTGGGGACACTACCACTGGGGGATCAGGGCGGGGACTGCTCTCTGGAGGAGGGACGGTCACACCACAGGCTCAGCACTAAGTGCACACTGGGGGCTCATCATGTGGACCCCCAGCGCACCCCACGTTCACACGGCACGACTCTGCCCCTCCTCCACGTGCTCCCTCAGCTGGTGTGTGGAAGCAGCTCTGTGATGGGGTGAACTGTCTGTCACCCATTAGAAAAGTATGTGTACATGGAACCCCTGGCCCCCCCACGTCTGGAAATAGGGTCTCTATAGATGTTATCAGGCAGTGTGGGTACACTGGAGTGCCAGGGGGTGTGTCTTAATCCAATCTGGACAATCCCTTATCAAAGAGGAGTCAAGACGCAGCTAGAGACTCCAAGACAGGCAGAGATTGAAGGAAGGGGCCACAAGCCGAGGAAGGGAAGGACGGAAGCGGTGAGCAGCACGGAGAGACGAGAGACCATCCATCCCCCAGAGCCTTCAGCAACAGCGTGGCCCTGCAGACAAAGCCGCTCTGGGCTGTAGCCCCCAGGACTTGGAGAGAACGCATTTCTAATTCGTGGTATTTGTCTGGGCAGCTCCTGGAAAGTTAACAGAGCCCCCAGCCCAGGCTGCAGCCAACAGGAAGGAGTAAGCCCATAGCGCAGCCAACAGGAAATGCTGGGCCCCCCCCCACACCCTGGCAGTAAACTGCAATCTGTTGCAGCCACAGCTCAGGGAGTGAGGCTTGGGACACACGGGGGTGGGAAGGGGGAGTGTCTGAGGAACAAACAGGGGAGTTGTAGACTGCCATCTAGTTGAGCACAACTCACAGCAACTCTATGAACAAAAGACCCGAAGCCTTTCAGTAACTATTGTTTCTCCAAGTTCATAGTTTACGGAGGCTTGTTGTTTAGGAAGTGGATGGTACTTCTGCTTAGGGAATTGGTGACTTGAAAGCCAAGAATCTTAGCAGCTGCTATGGACGTATTGAACCTTCATGGCTCCAGGAAGTCTGGAGCCCACAAGGATTTGAAGTCTGTTCTGTATTTCCCCAGCTTTGATCAAAATGTTCCGCCATGGCAGCTGGGTACTATATAGTTCTTCAGGTCTCATGGCCAACGAGGCAGCTGTTCACGGAGGGAGTAAAGGCACATTCACAGCGTCCTCCTATTCCTGACTCCCCTTCTTCCTCTGCTGCCCAAGACCCCAGGCTCTATAAAAGGAACAAGGAGGTAGAGCAGAGGCAGGCAGAGTCTGGATGTGCCTGGGCTTTCTGCGAGTCAGGGACTGACAGGACAGTGGCCAAGGGCTTCTCACCCAGCTCATACTATGTGGCAGACCGGGCACTGGCCCACCACCCACTAAATCCTCCCAGCCCAGCACCGGGAAGTACAGCTCTGTTCCTCGACAGCATCTCCGGATGTCTCCCCACTTCTTGACTGTGATTTAATATGGGAAGGGAACTAAATTTTTTCTTCAAGGATGAGTTTGTTAACAAAACGAATTCTAAGTCCTACAAAAGCAGCCTTCTCAGAGATTTCCCCCCGCGCCCCCGGGGTCCCTGGGCTGGAGTGAGCTGGAAGGGACTAGATAGTTTGAGGTCCCTGGAGGAAGCCAGCTCCCAGGCAGAGTGGGAAAAGGCACAGCTCCTTCTTGGAGGGAACCCAAACCCCAGGTGGAGAGGCCCCGCCCCTGTTCCGGAACCTGCCATTGGGCTTGTGCCTGCAGAAAGGTTAGTCTATCTTAAGACACAGCCATGGGGGCTCCTGTGATAATGTCAGGCCACTGTCCACAGCCAGGCGGCCACAGCTCAGGAGAAAGGCCTGCATGCGTCCTGCTAACCCAGAAGGGAGTGGGCCTCTTGGCAGACTGTGAGGAGGTCACTCGATTCCCTCCCATAACAAAGCCAGGCCCTGACGCCAACACATCCCCCAATCTGGAGACGGTCACACACACCAAGCCTCTGGTCACCTGCGAACTTCCCAAGGACTGCTTAAGCACATAGTTCAGAACGCTCTCACCTGAAGATGTCATACTTAGGGCACAATGGAGGAGGAGGAGGAGGTGTCCCCAGGACCACCGGCTACAGGGAAGGTCCCTGACCTAGTGGATAATAGCAAGACAGTCTTATTTTAACCCTAATGCTGCCTGGTGTTTGGGGAGGTCATGACACTTTCCTGGGTCTGTTTCCACAACCCTCAGATAGGCATCCTGGAAAAAAAAACAAAAGGAATCCTGGCCTGTCGGGAGGATCTGACAGTACAGTCTGCCGCTGCCACGTCAGCCCCGACTCCCGGTGGCCCTGGGCACAACTGACGGGACAGACACCCCATCAGCAAGCATGTTTAAACTTCTCCACGCAAAGTCCAGCTGTGCTGCTGCCGTGATCGGAACAATAACGTCGATTATTCAGTCCTTTAGGAAACCCAGTTCCACAGATGTGACCTTTTCCCAGATGACTGAAGTCCTTGTTTTGGATGGAACATTTTCTAAAGTGCATGTAACTATCTCTTCTCTAAAGAGCACACCCCACGATGGAGGAGAGGGTAATGACCTGCCTCCAGCGCTTTCTGGGAGAGGCTCAACCTGCCCCAGGCGGTGAACTTACTTGAGAGACACCCCCCCAGGTCCCCCTCTGCCCAGGGCAGCCACGCCCTGCAGGCCCAGGCCTGTTCCTGCAGGCAGTTCTCTGCTCTTCCTGCTTGTGCCAGCCCTCTGGCCCCCTCCCTCCTCTCTGCAGACATTCTGGGGCCGGCCAGCTCTCTGAACTTATCTAACCTGCTGTCTGGTAAAGCCCTGGTTTAGTGGAATTCTGCCTGGGGGAAAAAGATAATCAAGTTTATGAAGTCATGGTCCTTTAGGGGCACCACTCAAAGCCACTGACTTCTGTCCTGGTCCAGCCAAAGCCTCCAGGCCTTTTCCACTTGGTCTGAGGCCTCTGGCTCTGAACCTTGCAGAGAGAAAGAAGGGCTTCTTGGTGGGGAGACCCCAAAAGCCTTGCTGAGAGTGCGGTAAATAAACACTCTGCCTCTCTGCCAGGCCTGGGGGCCCAGGCAGGAGCAACACATTGCTCAGCCCTCCCGGGGACCAGAGTGTAAATACTCCCAGGAACCACCGCCATGGCGGGAAGGGCTGTCTC